ATGTAAAAAAGATGTTGAGACTTTAGAAAGAGTACAGAGAAGAGCAACAAAGATGATTAGGGGACTGGAGGCTAAAGCATATAAGGAACGGCTGCTGGAATTGGGTATGTCTAGTTTAATGAAGAGAAGGACGAGGGGGGACATGATAGCAGTGTTCCAATATCTCAGGGGCTGCCACAAAGAAGAGGGAGTCAAGCTAGTCTCCAAAGCGCCTGAGGGCAGGACAAGAAGCAACAGGTGGAAACTAAGCAAGGAGAGAAGCAACCTAGAATTAAGGAGAAACTTCCTGACAGTTAGAACAATTAACCAGTGGAACAACCTGCCTCCAGAAGCGGTGAATGCTCCAACACTGGAAGTTTTTAAGAAGAGACTGGACAGCCATTTATCCGAAATGGTATAGGGTTTCCTGTCTAAGCAGGGGGTTGGACTAGATGACCTCCAAGGTCCCTTCCAACTTTACTATTATTATTGTTATTATTATTAACATTTGAGGAAGGATGGATGTAACTCTGTATTCTTAGGTTAAGCATCTTCACTAAATATCGTATTTTCCGGCGTATAAGACGACTTTTTAAATCCTGAAAATCTTCTCAAAAGTCGGGGGTTGTCTTATACGCCGGAAAATACGGGTATTCTATTTTATTCCTTTACACATGTGGTTTGGCATATTACTCATCAAGTTTTCTCTCCCCCCCCCCCTCTCTCGCTCAAACTCTATATTTTAACTGGAAAAGTTGGGGGTCGTCTTATACGCCCAGTTGTCTTATACGCCGGAAAATATGGTAGATGAAGTGTTATGTGTGACTGGATTTATTCTACAAAAAATAAAAGTATCACTTCATCTTCTACTTCAGATTCTTTCTTCTCCCCTGGATTCACCATCAAGGCACAACCCTGAACCCTATTGTTGCAAATACCTCTGATCTTCAAAGACAAGGACCAAAATACCATTTACAATGAAAGCTGATGAGTATAACATGCTACCTTATAAAAGCTCTAAAATAAAGGAACTGAATGAAATTTGATGAATATGAATTGCATGAACAGTGCAAGAGAAGGCATGTAGGAGGTGGACAAGAACTTTTCCATTCTGCTCAATAGCAAATTTCCTTCTTAGACGTTTAGCAATTGTAGAGTCACCTGCTGCGAATAGCACTTAAAACATAATGCTAAAATATATCCCATAATACACAATGACCCCCTATTGATATATACACCCACAAGGAGATCACCAAATGGAATGGCATGCTGTTGGTAAATAGTTCCTGAGGGCAAAGCTTCTCAAAGCAATGTGGAGTGCTTCACCACAAGAATTTTCTGTATTATAAACATTTTGAAAAGCTTTTTTTAACAGCAAGGGATTACCAAAGAAAGAGCCTCAAGTTATGAAGCACAAGTTATACTTCTTTAATCTTCTGGAACAGAGCCATTTGAAACATCACTCAGTTCCCCGCCTACTTACCCTTTCCTGAGCATAATATGCCATCAGCTGATTCACAGAAACTTCTGCTCTCGTCTTCGGCCATGTTACATTTTCTTGGGTGCTGACACAATTTTCCAAACCATCCATCCTTACAAATGCAACGACCGCAGGAACAGATCCCGTGATCTAGATAAAAGGAAAATCCCCAGGCAAGGACTTTAATAGGCAGAGGAGTTTAGTCACCTTGTCCTTTTGGAGGTGCTTGTGAATCTGTGTCTATTTCCACCTCATACTAAGGCTGTGAGATGGTTTAGGCCCCAACCTTTTTGGTTGCGCGTACCAGTGGTGGTGGTGGCTTCTGCAGTTTTGGTAGCGGAGGGGATGGTTTTGCACATGCAACCTAAATCCCGTGCATGCGCAAATGAAGCTTCACATGCTCGCCTGCCATTTTGGTGGCTCAGTTCCCAACAGGCTGTGGACCGCTACAGCACCGGCTCCCTCCCAGCACTGTGCTTCCTGTCATGTTAGAAGAAGTTAGAAGAAAAGGCCTTTCCGCTAAATGTCAGTAGAAGAAGCTTGCCAGAAACCTTGTTCAAACTCCCAATACAACTTTGTCTTTAATTTTTAGATTTTACTGATTTTATTGTAATTTCTTTGATCGTTGTGAGCTGTCCAGACCCATTGAGAGTGTGAAAGCCCCTGATGAAATTCTTATTTACAAGAAAGTTGCATGATCTTCTCCTGGAGGATAATGGTCTTATCTCCAAGTGGGTGCTTGAGCCAAACCAAAATCATAGCACCTGCCCGTAACAGTTTGCAACAATCTGTAAAGAGAAAACATTCTGTCTCTCTTCCAGGTTTCAGAAAAGATAGCATTCAGAAGATGTAAGGATCTCTATTCAAATGAAGTAGATGAACCTGCTGTATTTTTGCCTATCTCAGAATGCATTTCGAATTCTTGCATTGTGCCAAAAGGGAAGATGATCACAGCCTGGATTGGAGGATAATAGCTGAATAGGAAAATGTGAAATCTATTCTCTTGCCCCACCCTTCCTATAGAGATTTAGGATTTTCTTTCTCCCTGCAAGATACATCAAGATGGATAATTGGTGGGAAGATTTCATTTTAGGCATATGATGCAAGGCCTTATCATATTCCTTCTTCTCTATGCTACTTAAAATGAACTTGTTTAGTGAAAACATTTGAAAACAAAGGGCTCTTCCCCATACAAGGGCCAGATCCTTGCATATCTCTACAATGCCATGTACTGTATCTCCCAGTGGTTTTTGCACTTCACCTGGTTAACTTCAGTGATTAATTACCCCACCAGCTGTTCCACAGAGAATGCAATGAAGATAGATTTGTGCTATTTTCTCCATAGTTGTGCAGTACACAACTCCTCCTGAGGGGAAATTTGTACCATGTCACAGTTCGTAGTCCCAAGGATATCCCTTCTATTCTTAAGAGAAAACATCATCACTCCTTGCTAGCATTCCTCTCTTGTAGGCAATCAGTAGAGAGCTTTTGTGTTGTTGTTTACTGTTTTTCTAGCAGAGAAAGCAATGCGACCAGGGAGGAACAAGCAAAGGGAGCAGAATCTCCGTAGTTGCCGTTTTTAGACCACCATCCCCCTCCAATTTCTCTCTTGAGGAATTAGTCAGTTCAGAAGCAAGAACAGAAACACATGGAAAGTGATACAGCACTGCAAAGACGCTGTAT